CTCTCTCTCTCTCTCTCTCTCTCTCTCTCTCCCCACACACACACACAAATCCTAAGGAAGATTCCCATTGGCTCAGCTTGGGATACATGCCCATCTCTGAACCAGTCATTTATCAGGAGATGAAAGACTGTGATTGGCCAGATCTGGGGGACTTGTCTATCCCCAGAGCTAGAGATTATACTCTCCGAACTACAGACTGAGAGTTGGTTAGGGGTGTTTTCCCATAAGAACCTGGGAAGCTGCTGTCAGGTGAGGGGACAAGAACATGAACCAGGACAATGACAGGAAGCTGCCATGGGTGAGGAAAGTACAACTGGGGCTAGAACCAGGGGCCAAATGTGTACTCCTCAATCCTAATAAGAAGTGGGCTTGCTCTGTGTGTCTGTGGGGCTGGCAAGGGGTCCAGCCAGGGTACACACAATCAGGGTCTGGCTTGGGAAATTCTAGAAACTTCTGAACAACTTTCCCTCTTCAGAAGCATCCTGTGTCTAAGTCAGACTCCTACTAGGAGGTGCCCCACCAGCTCTGTCCTTGGTTTATTAAGTTCAGAATCACATACATTAAATTGTTATTATTTCAGATTCTGTTATTTTCAAATTTACCTAGTCACTAAAATTTATATGTGACCCTAAAATCAATACCCTTTTGAGGTCACTCAGACATGTGCAGAGCAGTGAGAAATTTGAATATGAACAATGTGATGTTCTGACTCCTTGGTGCAGCTCATAGTGCAGTGTCCTTTTATGGCCTATTGAGTGTCTTTTTTTTTGGCCTTTTGGTATCTTTTGCAAGTAATTTTGATGTTTAAAATGTCTCCCAAGCTCAGATTTGAAGTGTTGCCTCATGTTCCAACATACAAGAATGTATCTTATACAGAAAAAGTGTTATATATGCTTCATTAGGCATGAGTTACAGTTCTGTTGGTTGTGAGTTCAATGTTAATCAGTCAACCATATATGTGTGTGTGTGTGTGTGTGTTATATGAATACAATAAGGTGTCTTCATACAGAAAGCTCTTAAATAAAGTTATACATTGATTGATTGATGAAGATATTGTGACCAGAGGCTTGTAGGATCCCAACCCTGTATTTCCTCTAGGAGCAATGGTTCAATATTTGCTAATTCAGTGTTTGTAATAACTTCATAAAATGTAGCTGCAGTGAATAACAAGAGTTTGCTGTAGCCGGGCACAGTGGTGCAAGCCTGTAATCCCAGTGGCTCTGGAGGCTGAGGCAGGAGGATCGTGAATTCAAAGCCAGCCCAACAACGGCCCTGTCTCTAAATATAATACAAAATAGGGCTGGGCATGTGGCTCAGTGGTCGAGTGCCCCTGAGTTCAATCCCTGGTACAAAAAAAAAAAAAAAAAAAAAAAAAGAGTTGACTCTGATTGTAATTGGCTGGAGATCATTAAGCCACACCAGGAGGGGATTTTATTGTCATCAGAGTGAACCATGGTGGTGCCTAACAAATGCATTCTCAGCCTGCTTTGGCCTCATCAGAGGAGGACACACTTGGCTAGGGAAGATAATCTCCCACCCAAACTCTCATTTTGTGTTGCAGACTCTTTTCTCATTTCTGGAGGGTTCGACAAGTCTGTGGCTATTTGGGATGTAGGAGAAGGCTACCGGAAGCTATCCTTGAAGGTACAAGTGCCAGCATTAGAGAGAAACTGTGAGCTTCATTCCTTAGTCATTCCATGCTGGGTGCTAGAGGCTGGGGCTACAGCAGTGAGACAGTCTTAGGTGCCTCCAAATGGAGCTGACTCATCTGTGGGGAAGGACAGACAAGAAACCACCAAGAGAATCACCAACAGTAATGAATAGAATGGGGAAACCACAACAAGGTGACGTGATAGAAACAGGCTCTGGGGTTTAACCATCAGTGGCTTAGCACGGAGAATGTCCCAGAGGAGATACTTGATCAGAGAATTGCGTGGCATGGAGGGTCTGGGTAAATAAGGATATTGAGGAAGGACATTCTATGCAGATGGAAGAGTAAATATAAACCCAAGGGATTGGAAAGTTTCTAAGAAGAATAGAAGTTACTATGCAGAGGGATGAATTCCATACTGAAAGCATTGAAAGCTATGGGGTTCCAAAATGAGGAACATTTACTGAGTATTTTTGGCTGAAAGTTAGGGGAGGCCTAACTCAAAATGGCTTTGTAATTAGGTATAAGTCATCCGACACATCAAGAATCCAGGATTGGTTCATTCTGTGCCCCTGTTCCAGAGGTCCCATGCCCCATGGTTTCTGCATACTCCCTGATCTCACAATCTCATAGTCACCTTTGGTTGTAGATGCTTGCGCCAATGATTCTTCATCTCTGTGTCCCTGGAAACCCAATGTATACTGTGTCACCTTGAGCAGCACATGTCCAGGCTTCTGGGGCTGGTCTTTCTGAGCTCTCTCCTCCTAGGGTTTGGGGAGGCAGAGGGAGTTTACATTTACAACAAATAAATAGCATAAAATTGAATGCTTAAAAATCATTTTGTCCACTATCAGGTTGTTCTAGTCTCTCTCTTCTCTCTTGCTATTCCTTAACCCTGTTATACACAATGGTTTAACTTTTCCTGTTCCTTTGCCTCCTACTATGCCCTATTGCCTCAACTTTTACCTCTTTCCCTAAAAGAAAGGCCAAAGTATAATAAAGGTGCTGACACAGAATCCCAGCATCATGAAGCAGTGGCATCTATCTCTCTGAGCTCCTTTTTTACCTGGGGAAAACAACCGACCATTTGCTAAAGCTGCAGTGAATCAAATTGTAGTTTCTTACAGCCAAAAGCTCCAAGTAGTGTCTCCTAGAACAAAGAATGCAAACAAAAACCCAGGACCGGATGGGTATACAACCTTTAATTTCCTTCCATCCCACTAAACACTATAGAACTACTTTTAAAAAACATACACAGTAACATGTAATGTTTTGAACAACCAACAATAAAAAATTAAAAAAAAAACATATACAGTGCCATGATATACTTACATATCACGTGTCTTTATAGTTTGTTCCACCTTGAATGTTGATGAAACCAGGGAAGTACAATTAGTTGCTCTTAAACATAAGCAACATTGGGTTCCTGGGTTTGTTTTTATTGTTCTTATAAGGGCATTTTTCCTAGGTCTTTGGTAAAATTTTATTTTTCTTCAGGGCCATGAGGACTGGGTAATGGATGTTGCTATCAGCAACAACAAGAAATGGATCCTATCTGCTTCGAAGGTAAAAGTGGCCAAGCTTTGAGTGATTTAAAATGCCTACCATGTTTATGAGAATTGGTGACAGCAGGAGTGCTATTCCCAAGTATAAAATTCCTGGGCAGGCTCAGTCTGATGTCTGCTTCCAGGAGTAGCCTGGGAATGTGGAAAGTAAGTCCTACCATCTGCAAATGTGGAGACTTTCCAGGTATTTCTGTGTCTGTGTCATTGACATTTGATTGTTGTTGGAGAAAGTGATAAAGTGTTGAGTGTTGCTGGTAAGTGATGAAGACAGCAAGGGCCTTGGAGGGCAGCAGCAGCTCATGGACAAGCAGGTGGGTCTTCCCTCCCTTCTATCTACATCACTGCATCTTGCGATTTCCATTCCATTGGCACATCACAGCTAGTTCTGGATATCCCAAGGGCTGTCGTCCCGGTGGGAGTATAGAGGAGTTAGGGCCCTCAACCTTTATCCAAGAATTTTCTGTGCTAGAGATCTCTAGGTCTATGAAACTATGAGGAAGACTCTGCCTAACATTACCAACATTTTAGAGAGTCAACCTTGGCTACAGACACTCCAGATTAAAAGCATATAATAATACAATATGTAATAAAAATCATAGGGGCTGGGGTTGTGGCTCAGTGGTAGAGCACTTGACTAGCACATGTGAGGTACTAGGTTCAGTCCTCAGTACCACATAAAAATAAATAAATAAATAAAGGCATTGTGTCCATCTACAACTAAAAAAAAAAAAAAAAATTGTATGCTGCTGGGTTCGTTGGTGCACATCTGTAATCCCAGTGAGACAGGGAGACAGGAGGTTCACAAGTTCAAAGCCAGCCTCAGCAAAAGTGAGGTGTTTAGCAACTCATGAGACCCTGTCTCTAAATAAAATACAAAATAGGGCTAGGGATATGGCTCAGTGGTTAAGTGCCCCTGAGTTCAATCCCTGGTACCCAAAACAAACAAACAAACAAACAAAAGTATGTCATTATGTTATTACATTAATATAAAGATAGAAAAAACTGAGTGTTTACTTAAAATTTTTATTTTGTATTATTATTATTTTTTAACTTTTCTGTTATAACAACAGGATTAGTTAATAATGGCAACTAGTAGTAATTAACAGTAGGGCTAATTAAACAAATATGCTTAAAAATATAAAAATATTTTATAATGTTTCCTCCTATCCCCAGGAAGAGCAATTTACTGTGATTTTAAAAAAATCTTTATTGGATATTTAAAATTTGTGGATATATTAATATATATATATGTATATATTATTATTATTATTATTATATAATATATGTTATATATATTTATAATAATATATTGTATATATTATACATATGTAATGATATATGTATATTATATATATAACAATATATGTGTTTGTGTAAATTTTTTTTGTACCAGGGATTAAACCCAGTGGCACTTAACTACTGAGCCACATTCCCAGCCCATTTTATTTTTTATTAATTAAATTAAATTAATTAATTTTTGATACTGTATTTAATCAGGGGCACTTAACCACTGAGCCATATTCCTAGCCCAATTTATTATTTATAAATATTTATTTATATATATATAATATTTATAATATTTATTTATTTATTTTTGGGTAATGGGGATTGAACTCAGGGGCACTTAACTACTGAGCCATATCCCTTATTTTGTGTTTTATTTAGAGACGAGGTCTCACTGAGTTGCTTAGAGCCTCACTTTTGCTGAGGCTGGCTTTGAACTTACAATTGTCCTGTCTCAACCTCCAGAGCTGCTACAGGCATGCAACACCATACCTGGCAATATATATTCTTAAAAACATAGATATATCATTATTTTAAAAACAGAACTTAAATACAACAGCACTAGTTGAACAGATACTGCTTACTTTTAATATTAAAAAAAGACCTCATTCTGTGAAGCCAGCATTATTCTGATACCAAAGTCCAATGAAAATATCACAAGAAGAGAAAATTACAGCTGCATTTGTAGGCTATATTATTGTATATTTTAAAAGATATAGATGTAAGATGTAAGACTTTTGAAAAAAAGAGAACATAAATGTAACTAAACTGATTAAACAGATACTAATATAAAACTAAATTCTACGAGGCCAGCATTACTTTGATACTAAGACAAGATAAATATATCACAGGAAAATTACAGATCAATATCCCTTATGAAAACAGAAGCAAAATATTAGCAAATAAAACCATTATTTACCATTCCTAGGAATACAACGGTACTTCAATATAAATTTAATTAATATAAATTTAATTAAATACAATTAATATAATATACAACATTAATAGAACAAGGGGGGAAACCACACCTGATCATCTCAATTGACACAGAAAAGGCATTTGAAAAATCCAAAACCCATCTATGATTTTAAAAAGGCCTCAGAAAGCTGAAACAAATTAAGGAAGACCTAAATAAATGGAAAGACATCCTACATTCATAAATAGGAAGACTTCCCATTTTTAAGAAGTCAGTCCCCAAAGTGATTTATAGATCCCAAACAACCCCTATCAAAGTTCTAACAGCTGTTTTCACAAAAATGGCAAAGCCAATCTTCAAGTTCTTAAGGAGTTGAAGTGTCCTAGGGAATGAAGAAGGAGGAGGTGGAGGACAAAAAGAGGAAAAAAAAGTGCACGACTCACTCTTCTTTGACTTCAGTATTAACCACAGATTTACAGTAATTAAAAGTATGGTACCGGGCTGGGGTTGTGGCTCAGTGGTAGAACACTTGCCTAGCATGTGTGAGGAACTGGGTTCCATACTCAGCATCACATATAAATAAATAAAATAAAATCCATTGACAACTAAAAAATATTTAAAAAAATTTGTGGTACTGAGCTGGGTGCAGTGGTGCATGCTTATAATCCCAACTGCTTTGGAGGCTGGGGCAGGAGGATTGCAAGTCAACCTTAGCAATTTAGCAAGGGCCAAAGCAACTTAGCAAGACCCTGTCTCAAAATTAAAATTAAAAAAAAAAATTATAAAGGGCTGAGGATGTGACTCAGTGGTTAAGTGCCCCTGGGTTCAATCCCTAGTACCAAAATAAACAAAAATATATGGTACTGGCATAGGACAGGCATATAGATAGATAGAATAGAATAGCAAATCAAAAAATAAACCCTAGCTTATTTGTTCAATTGATTTTGGGAGAAAAAGCAGTCTTTTCAACATGGTGCAATCACTTTTTTTTTTTTTTTTTGACTCATGATGGCCTCTTCAAAGATCATCAAATAGTTTTAGAAAACTACTAAATAACATGGTGCTAGGAAAACTGGATATCCTCATCCAAATAATGAAATTGAACCTGTACCTCATACCATATACAGGCATCCCTCTATTTTCCTGAGTTCTATATCCATGGATTCAGTTAACAATGGATTTTGGTATTCTTGGGGAATCTTGGAACCTATGCCCTGTGGATATGAAGGGACAACTGTATAAAAATTAACTCAAAATAAACTTGAAAACTAAAACTACAAAACTCTTAAAAGAAAACATTCGAGAAAATCTTCATGATACTGGGTTTGGCAACAGTTTCACGAATATAAGAACAAGAGCCACACACACACACACACAAATATGTTGGACTTTATCAAAGAACCTTTTATGTCAATAGATACTATCAAGATAGCAAAAAAAAAAAAAAAAAAACAACCTACAGAGTGAGAGAATATTTGCCAATCATGTATCTCTTAAGGATTCATGTCCATAGTATATAAAGAAGTTCTAAAGCCCAACAACAACAAACCCAATCCAAAAATAGGCAGAGGACTCGAATAGACATTCCTTCAAAGAAAATTAAACTGCTGACCAATAAGTGCATGAAAAGGTGTTCAACATCAGTGGTCCTTAGGGAAATCTAAGTCAAAACCACAGTGGACAGCATGTGGAATGTTGGAAAGCATGTGGAGAAACTGGAAACCTTGTGCATTTGCCAGTGGGAATGTAAAGTAGTGTCGCTGCGATGGAAAACAGTTTGGCAGTTTCTCAAAAGGTCAGATGTAGAACTAAACTACCACAGGACCTGTCGATTCCACTGCAGGGTATATACCCAAAAGAATGAAAGCAGGGACTCAAGAAGATACTTATATACCCATGTTCATAGCTGCATTATTGACTGTAGCTAAAAGGTAGAAGGAATGATGGATGAGCAAAATGTGACATATACATAAAATAGAATATTATTTGACCATTAAAGGAAGGAAGTTCTGACATACTACAACCTTGATGGACCTTGAAGACATTATGCTAAATGAACTAAGCCAGTTGCAAAGGATAGATACTGTATAAATGCACCTACACGAGGGACGTAGAGTTGTTACATTCATAAAGACAGGTAGAATGGTGTTTGCCTGGGCTGGAGGGAGTGGTGAAGGGAAGTTATTATTGATAGTGGAGTTTCTATTGGGAATGATAAAAAACCTGAGATCATAGTGGTGATGGTAACACAACTTGGTGAATGTATTTAAATATCACTGAACTGTATGATTATGAATGACTAAAATGATAATGTTTTATATGTTTTACCATAATAAACCTAACAATGACATATTTCTTTTTGACCATAATATAGCAGGATATTTTTTACTTTTCTTTTTTCATACTTTTTTGAACTGCCTGATTCTTTAGGTCCTCCTCCTCCTTTTCCCCACCCTCTGCCTCCTTCTCCTCCTCCTTTTGGTTGAACCCAGGGACACTCTACCCTAAGTTGCTTAGGACCTTGTTAAATTGCTGAGTCTGGTCTCAAAATTGCAATCCTCCTGCCTCAGCCTCCCAAATCACTGGGATTATAGATATGTACCACTGTGCCCAGCTAGGACATACTTTTCTTTTATGAAAAGGTGAAGCTGAAACCTGTCAAACAAAATTCTTGCAACTCTGTTCTTATCAAGTTCACATGATAGTAATTCCTAGGTCAGCCCAGAATATAAAGCTAAATATTCTCCCAACAAAAGGATTTGTACATGGAATACTTAGAAATTTCTTACTAGCAACATCAGGTTTTTAGCTTTGTAGGAATTACTTTTCAGCTCTCCAAAAACATCCAAGTGTACTTAGTTTACAGGCTTGTTTTAATAGACCAGATATTTGTCATCCAGATCCTTTGCCCTCAGATTTTCATCATGCAGACTGCACCCATGTAAAATGTCCATTATTGTTAAACATTCTGAAGCACATTGGATGACATCATAATTTAGATCTTGCTTTCTCAGGGAAAATTGTTTTAAAGCACAGAGGTAATTTGAACTTGTGATATATTAGTTGGATTCCAAATACATTATAGTATTTTTCAGAAAATGAGCAACTTTACACCATATAATTTTTGCCATAAGCTGCACTAACATTGAACAACTCGGGTTCAATCACTTTTTTTTTTTTTTTTTGACTCATGATGGCCTCTTCAAAGATCATCAAATAGTTTTAGAAAACTAGTAAATAAATTTGTGTTATGGTTATTCTTTTCTCTGTTATCATCCTTGATGTATTTCAAAATTATGTAACATTCGTCTTTTTCTATACCTTAAAAATATGATTTTTGCAGCAACTCATCACTTAAACTTCTTTTGATAGCTAGAAATAATAATAGCCAAGTGGTAGGCACATGTTTAAAGGAGATGTCTCCTTCCATTTCTAAAATCAACTTAGTACTTCATACAGATTGAGGAAGGTGAAAAGTACCCCAAACTCTTACTATGAAAGACCCAACATTATAGGTAAATAAATTGTACTCCTTTTTAGGAATGTGTGATGCAAGGTGTGCTGGACATTTAGCTTTTCATTTACTTTCATTAAAAGTTTATAGAATGAACGGAGTTTGCCAAAGTTTACATTTTCACTTTCTGCTGAATAAGTAGATAAGTGAGTAAAGCCTAGTTTGTGTTTAGATAAATATCAGCATGCTTTTTTTTCTTTTTAAAATATTTTATTATTTACCCTGATTGATTTTTTTATAAATATATTTATTTTTTAGGTGAAGATGGACACAACACAATGCCTTTATTTTTATGTGGTACTGAGAATCAAACCTGGGTCCCGCCCGTGCTAGGCGAGTGCTCTACTGCTGAGCCACAATCCCAGCCCAATATCAGCAGGTTTTTTAAAAATGTTTTTTTGCAGATTCATTAACATCCTCATAAAAGTCAGGCACTGTGACAAATCCCTATAATCCCAGTGACTCAAGAGGTTGAGGCAGGGGGATCACAAGTTGGAGACCAGCCTCTGCAACTTAGACCCTGCCTCAAAATAAAAAGGACTGGGATGTAGTTCAATGGTAAAGTGGTAACTGCCCCTGAGTTCAATCCCCAATACCAAAAAATAAAGTAAAATAATCTTTATGGAAATCCAGGAGAGAATCTGAAACTCTGACTTTGGAATCAAAGTATCTAGGAACTATGGGGAACATTTCTTTTTCTTTTTTGCCCTGATTTGACAAACCATTTGATATGCGGAAACTGTGATTGTTGGTAAAAACTGACAACTCTGCACTGCAAGGGGCCAACAAGCCTGTTCCCTAAATTTCCCATTGTTTCTCTGTAAGACATTTAGTTGCGACTGTTGACTTAGGAACTGTAACATTATTCAGTTTATTAGTTTTTTTTAAAATTGCTGCAATAAAAAATTACCACAGATGGCACTGTTTAAACATGAAACAACACAAATTTAATGTCTTAACATTCCATAGGATAGAAGTCCAACGAAGTTTCACTGGACTAAAATCAAGGTGTCAACAAGACTGCATTCCTTTCTGGAATTGTTAACTAGAGTTCATAGTTTATATTGTTTCACTCTGTGTTGTACAGTCTATGGGTTTTGCCAAGTGCATGCCATGTACCCACTACTGGGTAGCATGTGGAATGGTTTTACTGCCCTAAAAATCTTTCCTCCTCTTCCCCAGAACTCCTGAAAAGCACTGCTCTTTTAACTGTCTATAGTTTTCCCTTTCCCAGAATATCATATCATTGGAATTATGTAGTCTGTAGCCTTTTCAGAATAGCTTCTTTGGCTTAATAATGTGCATTTAAGTTTCCTCTGTGTCTTTTTGTGGCTTGACAGCATGTTTCTTTTGGCCATTGAATGATATTCCATTGTAAGGATGTACCACAGTCTTTTTTTTTTTTTTTTTGTGACAGCTGGTTTACTGTTTAACCTGTTTTAGGATAGGACCATGAGACTATGGAATATTGAAAAGATCGACCAAGTTCCTTTGGTAATTGAGAACCAAAAGGCTATGGGGACTCTAGTGAAACAGGTGGGTATTGGGTAAAATTAAGCTCAGTGAAGATGTTTATTAACCCTGTACAGTTTAATTTATTCTTTGAGCTAACATGTATTGGGCAACTGGGGAATAACTGTGGACAAACAGAGTGAATTTCTTGCCTTGTGGAGCTTAAATTCTAAAAGAGGAGACAAGGTATAAAGACACAAGAAAAATATGCAGTAAGTCACATAATGATCAATAATTCTAAGATAAATAACAGAGGAAAGGACAATGGGAGTGCTTGGAGTTGCAATATTTCAAAAGGTGGGGGTCTCTGAGAAGGTGACACATGTGCATACTGGATGGTGTTAAAGGAGAGAGCTGGGCAGATATTTAGGGGAAGGATTCCCCAGCAGTGGGGACAGCCATTGCAGCGCCCCTGAGGCAGGTGGAGTGGAGTGAATGAGAGGGCCTGGAGAAGATGGGGCCCGGGGGAATTCTGGTCAGTGGAGAAATGGTGGATACACAGCTGGACTGTGTAAGCCTTCTATGTTCTAGCCGCAGAAACTGGTTGGGCCCCAGTTCTCTGTTTTCCATGCAACAGTCTCAGGAGCCCATGTTTCTCTAGTGCAAGTGCTTGGTAGTAGGGTGGGCCCATGTTTTGCTTCACCCGGCTCCTCAAGGTCCAGCCACAGAGGCAGAAGATGTGCTCCTCTACCACCAAGCCCTCGGAAGTTCTGGCTGGCAGAGTGGGTGGCAGATGGGGTGGCACACACCTATAATCCCAGCAATTCAGGAAGCTGAGGCAGAAGGGTTGCAAATTCAAGGCCAGCCTCAGTAATTTAGCAAGACCCTAAGCAATTTAATGAACCCTGTTTCAAAAAAGAAATAAAAAAAATTAAAAGGGCTGGGGATATAGTTCGTATATATAAAGCAACCCTGTGTTCAATTCCAGTACAAAAAAAAAAAAGTTCTTGTACTGCTTCTGGGACTGTGCTAATCTGTGAGCAGTGTTGCAGGGCAGGGAGGTGAGAGACGGGACCCACATGGACCTTGTCTTTGTGGCCAGCTAGTCCTCAAGGCCTTTGTGACCATGTTAGTCCTTAGACCCTGGAAGCTGACTACCACAAAGCACCAATTGTCTCTGTCCCTTACCAACTTGCCCTGGAGCTTCCTCCTCTGGGAGCCTTGTTTTGGGGTTGGATCCACGGAGACTGTTCCATGAGACCTGGAGCTGCTGAAGAAGGTAGGCAAAGGATCAAATATCTTTCTTGCAAAAGAAAGAAGGAAGAGACCTACCTGAAGCTGTAGCAAAGATGAACCCACTGCACTTGACTTGTTCTGAATCAACAGGAGAAACCTCAGAGGGCAGATTTCCCAAAAGGCCTGCCCCAGGCAGGGTCTGTCAAGTCCCTTCAGTTGGCCAGAGTGTGGGCAAAGGAGGCAAAAGCACAGGGGCTTGGAGTGCCAGGACAGGGGAATGCCATTGTGCAGGCCTGTCCCAAGGGGTCTGTGCTGGGGTGGGAATGGCTGATTGGCCTCTGCTGTGGCCTTAGAGTCCCCCACCCTTGCTTGGCACTGCTCACTCCTTAGTAGGCTGCAGTTGATGTGGTGAGCTGTGCCATCTGTATCCACCATTCTACATGTTTTGGTCAGACAAAGGCTCAGGATAAAAGAGTGTGCTCAGCACCTATGTCAATCTAGTCGAAATCCCTGTTTTGTTCAGCAATCTTGTCTGCTTACCTCTTGTGGTTTGGTAAAAGTTGGGTGTTCCTAGCATGTCAGGGAGGTAGGACATCCCCCTTTTCCCACAATTCTGCTCTGCACAGAGCACCAGACAGGCTTGGACACCTGCCCTGTCATCCCGGCTGCCCAGGGGCTTGCCACTCCTGCCCTCAGGGCCCTCACAGGAGGGGACATGAGCTGGCAGCATCTGCTTAGCTTGGAGGTGGGGTTGGGGGAGAGCAGAAGCCCATGTGGGTTCACTCAGTAGGGTGGACTCTACTCTGAGGTTAGAGGCTCCTGAGAGGGGAGCCCTTACTTCAGCCCAGTCCAAAGTAGTCAGCTGATGGGGGGAGGATTCCAACTTAATGCCCTGATCTTTTCTGACCAGCACCTCCTTTCTGCTCTTAAAATATTTCACGTCAGTGCGAAGGATGTGACAGGCCATTTTCCACCTTGGAAAGTGACAGCTCGTTTGAAATAGTCACCAAATGTATCTTCTGCCGGAGAGATGCGACGGACTTGCCAGCAGCGGCTTCATCATCATCATCAGAAACAGAGAACAAGGAGGACTGACGGCCACTGGGCCCTTTCATTGACTTGATCATGGGTCACCTGTCACCCAGGTTGTGGGGCTCTCTGCAGGGATCCTTCTCAGGGTCCCTCCCCACCTGAGTGGGCCTGTGAGACTGGGGTAGGGGCCAATCCCTGGCTGGGCTCTCAGTTCAGGGCCACCTCCTCAGCTCCACAGCATCCTTGAGGGTTGAACACTTCAGTTTTCATGCAGAATAAATCTAGATTCCTTTGGAAAACAAGTGTGCATATGAATTGTAGAAGCAGTTTGCTATTTCTAAGCTTAACGTCCTGGTGTTCATTCTGTCTCATTTTGGGGATGCGTTATGGACTCCTATTCTGGAGTCTTGGGCCTCTGGGACTGGTATCACCATTTCCCGAGGATGGGTTTGTCAAATGAACATGAAGATGTGTGGGGGTCCCCCCTCTGTGATTGAGGATGGCAAGGCATTGTGGCTTATATGGTTTGACTATGATTTGTTCCCTAAGAGTTCATATCCTGGAAGCTTGGTCCCCAATGGCGGACACATCATGGGAAGGTATCAATACCTGCTTCTTGGAAGTGGGTTAGATATCAGGGGACTGAATTTGCTACTTCAAGAGCAGATTGTTATAAAGTTAGGCCACCCCTGTGTTTGGTTTCTTCTACATGTGCTACTTGCTGTTCTTACATGTGCTCCTGTCATGTGATGCCAACTGCCATGTTATGACCATATGAAGCACTAATCAGATGTCACTGCATGATCTTGAACTTTCCTGCCTCTAGAACCATGAGCTCAATAAATATTTTTTCTCTATAAAGTACCCAGACTCAGGTATTTTTTTGTAGTAACACAAAACCAACTAAGACACTGGCTAATGCTCCCAGATGGCCATCTGTCTAGAGCAGAGGAAGGTCTGAATATGCAAGAGTTGGTGGTGGTATTTCCACCACAGGATGTTTCATGTTCTCTGCCCCAGACTTTTGAATTTCCAGAATGCCCATGCATATGTGCAGCGGTCTTCCTGCTTCCACTGCATATTGTAGAACATTGATCCAGAAAGACTTTTCAGTTAAAAAATGTGAAGATTCTCCTGTTCCATTTGGTGAATTTCACATGATTTTTTTTGCCCAATATCATTAATATGTTCTGTGCTCCATTTTAGAAACTTGATTGCAGGACTGATTTACAGTATCCATTGTTTGGCATCCAAAGATTTTGTGCATTAGCACAATAATCTGAGAATCATTTAGGGAGGCCCCCATGTTTAGTGCCTTCCCTGTGAGTCACAAGGGTGGGAGGGTGTGTGTGGGGTTATTGCTTAGATTAAAATTGGCTGCTTAGTATTTATTCACTTATTTACAACGACTTATTATGAACTTGTCAAAACTCCACTTACACCTTCCCAGCAAGAGGCCTCCCTCCTTGCAGATGTTCTGAGGCCTTCCAACACGTGAAGACACTACAGACGTAGTCATCACTGTGGCTGTGGAGGACAGCTAGACAGCATTTATGAACACTGCCCCTACCGATGGGCACCTAGGTTGGTATTACGAAAAAGACTAGAGCGAGCCTTCCCGTGCACATATTTTTGTACAGACTCAACAGTTCTGAGGCTGACTCTTCCACGCGTTTGTGTTACCCAAAAGCCCTCCGAAAAGTGCTGGGATAAGTAGCTGGTATGCCTGGGGGCGGAGACCCCGGGGGAGCAAGAGGGGAGCCTGGGTGGGAGGACTCCTACTTGCCCTATCTGGGTGCTGTGATAGCTCAGGGTCCCCTGAGTACCCTGCGATGCTACCCTGACTCAGGAAGAAGCGGCCCAAATGAAGTTATGGGCCCCCGGGGGCTGGCAGGGCCGGCGGCCGGCTCCGGCTGAGGGCGCGGTGCTGGTGGGGCCGGGGTTCCCAGGGTGCCCCGAGGGCCGAGCCAGCAGCCCCGCTGCGCAGTCGGGTCGTGGGTTCTCCGGAGCCTTCAGGGGCTCCCCTGAGCCACGCCTGGCGAGCAAAAAGCGCAGACCTTGAACGAGGACCCCACAAAGGTACAGGCAGGTATCCGGTTTCCGTCGAGGAGACGCTACCGGCACCGGGAAACCAGGCCCGCCCAGGCCCCACGCGCCAAGTGGAGTTCGCGTTCTCTGAGGCCAGCAAGCATGTACGCCACGCATGCGCCGGCATCCAGCCTCCTCGCCGCCTAAAACTCAAAAATCAAAAAGCCTCTGCGCACGCGCGTGGCTCATGGAGTGACTAGAGATGGGGAATAGTTTCTCGCGCTGCTTACACGGGCGGCGCCGTGGCTTAGTTGGTTAAAGCGCCTGTCTAGTAAACAGGAGATCCTGGGTTCGAATCCCAGCGGTGCCTCAACCGAGCGTTCCAGCTCTCTCGTTACCCTTTTGCTTCCGCTTTGCGTCCTCGCCCACCGCCCAATACCCCCTCTCTCATGGGACCTACGGGCGAACCTGAAAGACCTTTTTAATCCAGGCCCCAGCTGATGGCGGGGCGTGGCGTCAGGGTTGCGTGCTAGACTACGTGTGACCGGCCTCAGCTTCTGCTCTCCCGGGTTCCCCAGAGCTGACTTTGCCTCTCTGCACGCCAGGAAACTGCAACCATGCTTCGCTACCTTCCAAGCACTGCTGATTTCCCCTTCTCCCTCCATACACGCATGATAAATCTGTTGCATATCTTTGAGGCTTAGCGAGGTCAAGTGCGGCCCAAAGGGGAGGCCTGCGGAGTGGAGTCCACCAATGTGACAGTTGGCAGAACGCATTCAAAACACCTGAAAGGAACACCCAATCAGCTCAGACGCCAGTGTGGGGACGAACCTAAGCTTGCCGGTGGTTGCTGATTGCTGTGCTGAGGCCCTGTAAATAAATACGCTGGCACTTGGGGACCTACTCCAGAGCAATTGAATCCAGGGCTTTGGGGGTGCGGGGTGGGGGTGGGGTGGGGGTGGGGATGAGGGACGCATTGAAGCTTTTAAAAAGTTCCTCGGGAATTCATTTAGCTCAGACAGTTCCAGTGAGCTGCAGCAATTGCAGACATGGCACGAGGCTGTGTGCTAAGTGCAGAGGCTCCTCCACTTACTGGAAAGTTACACCAGTAAACTGTCGCGTCGTAAATGAACTTAACCTTATCCAAGATCATAGCTTAGCCTCGCCTCCTCCGAACACTTTTTTTGGCGGCCCAGCCTACACCTGGGCAAAATGATGTAACATTAAGTGCGTTTTATAATAAAGCGTGTTGCATATCTTGTGTATTTTCTGAACACTGAAAGTGAAAAAAACAATGGTTATATGTGTATTCACTTAACCCACACAGCAGGAGACACACATGATATTTTGTTAGACTTGATGGGATAGAAAAACCCAAAATAAAATATCCAAAACTTGGGGTTGGGGTTGTACCTCCGTGGTAGAGCCTGGCACTGTGTGAGGTACTGGGTTTGATCCTCAGCACCACATAAAAATAAATAAAGGTAGCGTGTCCACCTATTCAACTAAGAAATATTAAAAGACAAGGATTATTTTGAGGCTTTGCAGTGCTGAAAGGAACACCCAATCAGTGATAAATTTATTGGAAACTGGGCTGGGGTCATTGTGGAGCTGGATATTTCTAGTTGGTCTTTATTCCTAAGCTGAGCTGGGTATTGGTTGGGGGTGTGAGTCTGAAATTTGGGCGCGGCGGGGGGGGGGGGGGGGCGTGGTCAGCTAAAGAAAAGCATTTGTGAACCAAGGATAGTATGCAGCAGATGACTTGAAGTCATCTAATGGAATAAGTATCTTTGGGCAGTAAGCAAAGCCAAAAAAAAAAAAAAAAAGAATGGACCAGTATGAAGTTTATCTTTCCTTCCATTCTTAAAAAATGCCTAGATATTCCTGCCTCAGGGCCTTTGCAGTGCTGTGCCTGGTGTCTGGAATGCTGTTTCCAGAGACTTTGCAGGAATGGGTCCTTCACATTTCTGGTCCTTCAGTGTGTCACCCCTTTGAGCAGGCTCCTCTCATTGTCCCCTAGGTCAGCGTCCAGCATAGCAACCTACTTATTCACAGAATTTCTTCATGTGCTTCAACCAAAATAACTCATCACAACAGACCAAATGCAAGAACAGATATGATGGTCCAGCTGTCTTCTGTGGAACCCAGCATGAAATAGCTTTGTATTATGTGCATGTACAAGTATGTCACAGAGTTCCACTACTATATATAATTATAGCGCATCAATAAAAAAATTAAAAAGGGCTTTGCAAAAAGGTAAAATGATGCCATTCTTCTCATTAAATTTTTGTTTTATTTTTCAAATAGTTTCATACAGATGTTATTGTGTTAACATGTAACCTGCTTATTATTGTTGTTTTTAAATGAATAAGTATCATATTTTTTCCTCAGCTTTAACTTCTAATATCTTTTCTTCCTTCTCGTGTACCAGGGATTGAACTCAGGGGTGCTTAATCACTGAGCCGCATCCCCAGAACTTTTTTATTTTTTATTTTGAGACAGCTAAGTTGTTGAGGCTGTCTTTGAACTTGTGATTCTCCTAACTCAACCTCCAAGCTGCTGGGATTATAGGTGTTCACCACTGCACCCAATTAATATCTTTTTTAAAAAAAATTTTTAAATATTTTTAAGTTGTTGATGTACCTTTATTTTTTATTTATTTATATGTGGTGCTGAGGATCAAACTCAGTGCCTCACACATGCCAGGCAAGTGCTCTGCCACTGAGCCACAACCCCAATCCCCCAATTAATATCTTAAATGTCGATAGATATAATTTAAATACACAAATGCTAATTTGGGATCCTCAATATTTTTTTTTTAAGAGTGCAAAGAGATCCCAAGATTAAGAAGTTTGAGAATCACAGAAAGTACATGTGGGGCCTTGTAGGATCATCAGAGAGCAGGGTAAGTGTGAGTATTGGAGATGTGGGGGTTTGTCCTGATGTCTCTCCCTGAGATGAATTCTTCAAATTATGGATCAAATATAAGGATAGCTCCCTGTTCATTGAGAACCCCTTTCAGAATGTTGAGTGAATTGTCTTGAGTAGATGATAGAATTATTATTTCAATAAAGTTTTAGAATCAAACCATCATCTCAATACACCCTCATGATGAAAATTCAAGTAAGAAATGAGAACCAAAATATATGAGAAGCGATATAGCGTAATGGGTTAGAACGCCCAGGGACAAAGCCGTTTGCCACATAGCTGTGTGCATTTATTGGCAACCACAGTATTTGAGGCCAGTGATAAAACACTGGGCACATTTCTCCATTTCACTCTCACTGAATTTCTCTCTTTCTCTTTTCCCCTGTGGTTCAGGGGACCAGAGCCAGACGCTCTCTCATGCTAAACACACACATTTTGTAGCTCAGTTTCTGCCTGGGTAAAATGGGGTTCCTAGCAGTAGACACCTCATCGGGTTGTCCCAAGAACCAAATGAGTTATATTCACCCTTAGATGACAGAAATTCCTACTTACCGTAGGGGTTTCTGTTAAAGGGAGTAAGACAGGAAAATCCTTTATCAGTTCCCATTCCTTCCAGATCCTTCTCTGGGCATTCCCGTGGAGGTGACATGTGTAGAGTGTAAGAGGGTGTGTGGGATGTGTTTGTTGATTATAGCTTTCTTGAGACATGATTCAGATACCCCACAACTCACCAGCTTAAAGTGTGCATTTCAGTGTTTTTTAGTTTATTTTAGAAAGTTACATATGCCAACACCATAATCATATCCATAACATTTTCATTACTCTCTTGTATGAGAGTTCTCCAGAGAAACATAATAAATACATGGGAAAATGTGTGC